AGAGAGAGAGAGAAAGAAAGAGAGAGAGAGAGAGAGAGAGAGAGAGAGAGAGAGACGGGATATCGACTTCCGTAGGATGACAACTAAAACGAGTCTCTGACATGTTCATATAAATATATTTCTTGACAATCATACGCATGGACTTCAAGAGACCGATTAAGGCCCCTTTTATTCCAACACACGCTCTCATATGAACTCTTTTACACTCGGTTATAAATTATTAATATTATTAGTAATCACCGCATTGCAAAATATATATAGAAATATATATATCAGACTTCCTCGTCGTCTCCATCGCGCTCAGCCGTAGTAGGGAGAGTAGCCCCCAGTATGGCCAAAGCCGCCAGAGTACCCGCCATATGGGTAGCCCCCGTAGCCTCCTCCGTAGCCCCCTCCGTAGCCTCCTCCGTAGCCTCCTCCATAGCCCCCTCCGTAGCCTCCTCCGTAGCCTCCGCCGAGTCCTCCAAAGCCTCCGCCGAGTCCTCCAAAGCCTCCGCCGAGTCCTCCGTAGCCTCCGCCGTGTCCTCCGCCGAAGAGTCCGAATAGGGGCTTCAAGAGGAGGTGATCGAGTCCCGGAAGGAACCTCTGGTTCGGCGTGGCTCCCGCCGCTCCCACGGCCGGAGCGGCCGCGGCCACGGGGGCTTTGTCGGGCCGAGCGGCACTCACGCCCAGCAGCACTGCCAGGAGCGTCGCCTTCAGGATGGCTGCGTACATCTGCAAGGGCGCGACGTTAGTTAGGGTTGCGAGGGACAAGCAGAATTGAGGACAGTGTGAACTGCACTGAGGATGAAGCGACCCTCGTGCAAGTCTTCCCGAAAGACGGAATTAAAAAAAAAATGTTCCCGGACCCAAAAGAAAGAAAATTAAAAGTTATGTTTATACTTCATGATATAACTCGAATTTAAATATCTACATGTCTGTCAATGCTTGTCTAAGGAAAATAAATAGTTTTGGAGCAATATTTTCCCCTTTTATGAATGTAAAACCAGGCTCGAGGGACATTATACTGAACAAATTATTGGTCCGTTAGATACTTTTTATATAAACCGTCGACATATAAGATCAAACATATGCAGTTAGAATTATTTATGATTCGAAAAATACAATTTTGGAACATTTCTTCTTCGAGAACGCAAATAAAAGGTGAAAATATGATGCAAGAAACTTTTGGCTCTTACTCGACACAACTTTTTTTGGATTACGTGAATACTGAAAAAAATTTCCTCTACTGTTAGCACTATCAGTAATAATGAAGATAATGATATTAATAGTACTACTTTTACTGCTACTAATGGCAATAATAATAATAATGATGATCTACTACTACTAGTGATAATATTACTGATAATAATAATAATGATGATGAAAATAATGTGTACAGAAACTTCTAATACTACTACTTCTAATAATGATGATAATTATAATAATATCAACAGTTATTATAACAATAATGATAAGAATTATGATGAAAATAGGGAGAAAAATCTGAAAAGATTTAACATTGTACTTACTTTTGTTTACTTGAGGGTTGGTATAAGAGGATTTGTTATTAGTATTCTGTATTCCAATACCAAGCCACAACCTTTATATACATGCTCCTTCAGTACCCTTGAAGTTGCCAGTTCGTCCAATTTCTCTCGTGGGTATGTAAAGGCGTTGAGGAAGTATAGTTCCTGTTTCTTTCGTCTTTACGTCCGTGTGGGCGGAACTGCACCCTGTTTGGCGGGTTATCTTCCGCGTTTTTTCCGATGTTAATGAGAGAGAGAGAAAGAGAGAGAGAGAGAGAGAGAGAGAGAGAGAGAGAGAGAGAGAGAGAGAGAGAGAGAGAGAGAGAGAGAGAGAGAGAGAGAGTAGGGGGGAGGGGAGAGACAGAGACAGAGAGAATGAGAATGAAAAAGGAAGATAGAATTTATCCTCTGGTGGCTATGACTTTTTTTCATATCACCGACGACCAGAACTAATTTTCCTACCGTTCTCTTCCTTAGTGGGAACCCCGGAAATTCAAAGCTGAAATGAACTAGTTTGAACTACCCGCCTCTCTCTCTCTCTCTCTCTCTCTCTCTCTCTCTCTCTCTCTCTCTCTCTCTCTCTCTCTCTCTCTCTCTATCTCTCTATCTATCTATCTATCTATCTACCTATCTATCTATCTATCTACCTATCTATCTATCTATCTATCTATCTATCTCTGTGTCTGTCTGTCTGTCAATAATATATTCTCTCTCTCTCTCTCTCTCTCTCTCTCTCTCTCTCTCTCTCTCTCTCTCTCTTTCTCCTCTCTCTCTCTCTCTCTCTCTCTCTCTCTCTCTCTCTCTCTCTCTCTCTCTGTCTACCCACCCCTCCCCCTCTAATCTCAGCTCTCTCCTCCTAAACCCCCCCCCTCTCGTCTCTCTCTCCTCTCATCTCTCCGCTCTCATCTCTCTCCCTCATTCTCTCTCTCTCTCTCTCTCTCTACTATCACAGGCTCTCTCTCTCTCTCTCCGTCTCACCCTATATCTCCTCT